ACGATCCCACGCCCCGCAACCGTAGTAGGGATTCTAGTGATCCCATAGGTGTCGTTTCCCACCGACAACCGCTGTCATTTGCATCCATTACTATTAATTTATATTGAGTATGACTATGACTAGATCTCTTTTACCATGAATTACAATGTCTAGTCAGTCCTTGATCTTCAGGGGTGCTCTGCATTTATGTTTTGCGGTCTCAGAAAGGCTAGCGAGATACCATCTTGTTTTATCATATTATGATTGTTTTGAGAAAGTGTTGTCATCCGAGATTTATTATTATTGCTCGCTAGTTGATTATGCCATTGATATGAGTAAATATGAGACCTAAGTGTTATTGTGAATATGGTTAGTTCATAATCTTTGCTGAAAACTTGAATGTTGGCTTTACATATTTGCAACAACAAGAGCAAACAAAGTTTGTAAAAGTTTTTCTTGATCACTTTTAGTTTGTCAACTGAATTGCTTGAGGACAAGCAAAGGTTTAAGATTGGGGGAGTTGATAAGTCTCCATCATATCTACTTTTCGAAACACTTTTGCCCTTGTTTTGGACTCTAACTTGCACGATTTGAATGGAACTAACCCGGACTGACGCTGTTTTCAGCAGAATTGCCATGGTGTTATTTTTGTGCAGAAATAAAAGTTCTTGGAATGACCTGAAACTCCACGGAGAATATTTTTGCAATTAATAAAAAATACTGGCGAAAGAATCAAGGCCAGGGGGCCCACACCCTATCCACGAGGGTGGGGGGGCGCCCCCTGCCTCGTGGCCCCCCTAATGCTCCACCGACCTCAACTCCAACTCTATATATTCACGTTCGGGAAGAAAAAAATCGGAGAGAAGGATTCATCGTGTTTCACGATACGGAGCCGCTGCCAAGCCCTAATCTCTCTCAGGAGGGCTGATCTGGAGTCTGTTCGGGGCTCCGGAAAGGGGAATCCGTCGCCGTCGTCATCATCAACCATCCTCCATCACCAATTTCATGATGCTCACCGCCATGGTGAGTAATTCCATCGTAGGCTTGCTGGACGGTGATGGGTTGCATGAGATTTATCATGTAATCGAGTTAGTTTTGTTAGGGTTTGATCCCTAGTATCCACTATGTTCTGAGATTGATGTTGCTATGACTTTGCTATGCTTAATGCTTGTCACTAGGGCCCGAGTGCCATGATTTCAGATCTGAACCTATTATGTTTTCATGAATATATGTGAGTTCTTGATCCTATCTTGCAAGTCAATAGTCACCTACTATGTGTTATGATCTGGCAACCCCGAAGTGACAATAATCGGGACCACTCCCGGTGATGACCGTAGTTTGAGGAGTTCATGTATTCACTAAGTGTTAATGCTTTGGTCCGGTACTCTATTAAAAGGATGCCTTAATATCCCTTAGTTTCCAATAGGACCCCGCTGCCACGGGAGGGTAGGACAAAACATGTCATGCAAGTTCTTTTTCATAAGCACGTATGACTATATTCGGAATACATGCCTACATTACATTGATGAACTGGAGCTAGTTCTGTGTCACCCTATGTTATAATTGTTGCATGGGGAATTGCATCCGACATAATTATCCATCATTGATCCAATGCCTACAAGCTTTTCACATATTGATCTTTGCTTATTAGTTACATTACCGTTGCCACTGTTACAATTACTACAAAACTGCTACTATTACTTTTGCTACTATTACCGTTACTTCCATAGTACTTTGCTACTAAATACTTTGCTGCAGATATTAAGTTATCCAGGTGTGGTTGAATTGACAACTCAACTGCTAATACTTGAGAATATTATTTGGCTCCCCTTGTGTCGAATCAATAAACTTGGGTTGAATACTCTACCCTTGAAAATGGTTGCGATCCTCTATACTTGTGGGTTATCAAGATGCGAGCTAATTTCCAAGACACTTACGTTAGATCCTCGGATGCCGATGACCTTGCTCATGTCGCAAAAGCCAGGGGAAGCAGTCTGAAAATTCTGGAATTGGTTCTTGACCAAAAAGAACCATATAGTGGACTGCCCGGACCCTGAGGCAATCGCAACATTCAAACGCAACATAAGTTATGGGTGGCTGGCGAGAGAGCTCCGACACGAGAAGCCTCGGCTCATGACTCGATTTTGTGCTGGTGAGGATAATTGGTGGCAACTCCGATACTCCTTTCTTCCAATATTTTTTTATATATTCTAAAATAATTCTTCATAACTTTTCTTGTCATTTTGAGCTCTAGAGAATAGTTATCTCCTTTGTATCTTTTTCAGGTCAGAAATCCAAGTGCCAGAAATCTTCCTCTTTTGGTGTATCTTGCATTTTAAGAGAGAAAAGACATTAGAATTGCATCATAAAGTGGAATATAGCTTCAAAACAATAAAAATAATAGTAGGAAAAAACTTGATGTAAAATGGACGTATCAGTTGCCCAATTTTAAGGGCTCGGACAACATGATCTCAAGACCTACGCAGATAATGCATATTGTTTAGAAAATTTTTGACATCTGATGTGACAGATGGAGACATCTATGGGGACCAAAGAAAATATGAGATAATGGTGATCCATCAAACTTAATGCTTGGCTTCGGTCTAACAACCTTAATTGTGGAGACAACCACTCTATGGCAACGACGAAGTAGGACCATAGAATGGAATGTAATCCCGCAAGGAGGAGTTCCATGACCTTAGAGTGATCCGCCTACCGATCAAACATATCAAATGCTATATTCATGATACAAGGTAACTGGTATTACTGTCGCACTGACACACTTGATGTATATCATGAATTTCTCTCCACGCCTAACTTCTTCATTGTAGGAAACACAACTCTACTTTTCGTCTTATTTATGTTCTTTACTTTCGAGTGTTACTATTCTCACAGCTGCAAACTCATTGTATTTACTACCTCTGGTGTATTTGCCTCTTGGGACAATAACAACACTTGCAAAATCACAAGAAGTTACTTCACATAAGAACTATAACACTTGTGTGTGCTAGAAACACTACTTATAAATACTCTTATCCGCTCTTCGTCAGGACGATTCCCATTTAGGATACTTACATGAAAGTGCTACAACACCATGCTTGGCTTGTAGTCTATCACCGACATGTTTGCATGATAAGACGAGAATGATGCCTAATAATTTTTAACAAAACATAATATTGTTTGCTCACGCACAGCAAACTTAATTGATCTAATAAAATAAGAAACCAGCCTAGCCCCGAGCATTTTAAGATCTCTTCGCCGGGTAACTTCCACACCTCCCTCAACGCCATACAAAACACATAAGCCTTAGGACAACAAACTAAAGCGTGAAAAATACTCATCTTCAACAAAACCATAGATCAAGCACGTAGTTATCCCATTAACTATTTAAGTTATTGCTCTCAATCATATATACATCTTAATCTTACATATGTTATTTTGTAGCAACAAATTCAGTGGGCGTGTGGAGGTGTGTCTCCGGCGGATCTGTCTTTGGTGGATTTGCTCGAACCTGACCATCGTTCATCTACATTCCTATGTCTTCAGGTTGGATCCTTTTGATCTACGTTACTCTTCGTCGGCGGCGGTTGCTGTTCTGGTGCGCTGGTCCTATAAGGTCTTAGCACGACGACTCCCCGACTGTCTACTGCAACAACTTTCGTCATGCTCTAGTGAGGGAGGGGTGATGATGGCGGCACGCCTTCGGCTCGCTTAAGTGCTCATAGTCATCGCTAGGTGGTCTGCGGACTTGGAGGTATTTTTTATTATTTTTGTTGTTCGTTGTATCGTCATGATTGAAGATGAACAAATCAAAAAAATTCCCGCAGAAAAAAAATCATTGACATGCTTTGTTTTTCATTCATCAATATATCGTATTATTTGAGAACCAACCAATGATTGGATGGTTAGGAAGACAGTGGATCGCTTATCATAAGTGTTTCAGTTGGATGGTGATTTGAGATTAATCGAAAATCGCCCGATTAATCAGTTTAATCAGTCAGCTATTAATTGGTAATTTTTCCTTGCAATTTCCAGGTTCCAAGCACTAATAAGATAAAAATAGAAAACAACCATTAATGAACACTACATCAGTACATAACTACATATCGCATGCTAAACAACGAGTCAATGAAAAACAAAATAGGACAACACTGCAACATATGTCCTATCGAGCGCGGGATGAAGTGTGATGTGCGGGAGGCTGCTGAAAATGGAGGCCCTGTTTTGGGGTTTTTGACCGCAGGGGCCCAGCCTGATTAATAGCTAGATTCCCGATTAATCGTTTGTCAGAGCGATAAATCAACCCAAATGATAAATATAAAAAATAATGTATAATCTTAGCGGTCACTCAGCGACAAGCGATAAATCGGCTGATAAATAGCTGAGTCAGATAATATTTTAAACATTGATCCTAGCCCACCAGAGATTAAACACCATGTTTGACACTTTTGGGAATTTTCTCAACCAGGTCCGTCGATAGCAAGACACTCATGATGACTTCGTCAATGTTTAAGCTTCGCAACTTCGACCCAATCAGCAGTTGTATAATGATGCGAGAGTGTGCGTGCGTACATCTGCGTTATACTACACCTCCGTTCCAAAATATATGATGTTTCAATAGGCTAATCAAAACGTCATATATTTTGAAGATGTTTTGGTAAGCTAGTTTGACATATCAAAGCGTAGTATATTTTGGAACGGAGGTAGTAAGTTATAAGCGGTATTAAAAAAATTCATACTAATTTGATCATAACTCCACCCCACCCGCATGGTGCCTATGATTGGACTCTTCCAAGAAAATGTTATACCGGAATCGTTTAGCCTCCTAAATTTTTTGCAAGAAAATTTCTCCTGTAATTGCTTCCCAGCCGCCAGCCTCATCAGATCTAGGAGAAGGCAGCTCATCCTGGCTGAGCCGAACCAGTCAGTCCGTAGCACACCACAGACCACACTCGCTCCGTGCTCCCTCTCTCCAATCTCAAAACTTTTCCCCACCCGAAACCCTCGCCCGCGGCCGCACCATGCCGCCGCCGCCGCCGGTGCTGATGGAAGAGCTCCTCGAGGAGGTCTTCTTCCGCCTTCCGCCGGACGAGCCCGCCTGGCTCGTCCGCGCCTCCGTCGCCTGCAAGCCATGGCGCCGCATCCTCGCCGACCGGGGCTTTCGCCGTCGCTACCGCGAGTTCCACCGGACACCTCCCGTCCTGGGATTCTTCGAAAAGGGCGGCGCCCGCCTCGTCCCCGTCGCCTCCCTCTTCCCTGCCCAGGCCGACCATCCCGACTGGCATGTCATGGACTGCCGCCACGGCCGCGCCCTCTTAGCCTACATCGGGAAGACCGATGACCTCATCGTGTTGGACCCCATGACGGGCCACCAGCGCCGCGTGCCCTCGCCTTCGAACAATCTGATCGGCTTCACTGCGGCGGTGCTCTGCGCCGCACAAGGCTGCGACCACCACGGTTGCCAAGACGGGCATTTCCTTGTGGCCGTTGTGTGCCCCAAGAAGCTTGAGGAAATCACATTGGGCTGGCTGTACTCATCTGAGACTGACCTCTGGACGGAGTTCGCCTCTGTTCATCGCCCCAATGCCAATTATTTCTCTAACATGGATGCGCCTGGCGTCCTTGTGGGCGATGCACTCTACTTCAACATTGATGGCGTCATTGAATGCCAGCTTGGTACACTAAGCTTGTCAACGTTGGAGAAGCCGATCGATGGCAATGGGACTCTCATGATGGCGGAAGATGGCAGGCTGGGATACGCTGCCGTGGTTGATGTCACAGATCTAACCCTGTGGTCGAGGGAGGCTGGACCCGAGGGAGCCATGGGATGGACAAAACTCAGGGTAATCGATCTTAAGACGCTACTCCCTGATGGTGCCCTCTTTATCACAACACAATATGGGATCAGTAGGTCGCCGCGTTCATTGATGATTAGTGGGATCGCAGAGGGCACCCAAGTCATTTTTGTGAGCACATGGGTTGGTTCCTATATGGCCGATCTCAAGTCTGGGCGAGCCAGGATGGTCTCTCGTCCCGGCAGAAAAGTCTTCCCGTACATGAGATTCTACCTCCCAGGTACATGAGATTCTACCTCCCACTTATGTGCATATGTATATATATAGTATCTGTTAGCAAGTAGAAGCATTTTAGAAAACTCTCAACCCTGTATAATCAACTAGCATAGTAGCCCTCACAAATGCGAAGGCATTGTTTTTCGTGTGTAGATTCATTTTGTGAAAAAGTGAATTTATATTTTCCAAAATGTTATTACTATGCAACCATAAATAGCATGACTATATAGCCACTGAAATGTTAGCCTAGATAAAATATCAACAGTTGGATTGTGTTTAGCAGTGTCCCGTACAATTGCGTGGAAAACTTCTTAATCGATCCATTTATTTTTATTTATGTAAGTGGGACATTAGGTGAAAGATGAAAATGTACGAATATGATTAGAAATTGTAGGTTGCATGTTCACTGAAAATATTATCATATATAGAACATATAATCCTGCACAAATTGTTTTTAATCAGCTTAAGTTTTTGGGAGTGATTATTTTTCCGTTTCATGTGACATCATATTATGAGCACAGAAAACCATTTGTACGCTGTATTAGATCAAATGATCAGTGCAAAGAGCTAATGTTTAGATCATGAGCTAGCCAATAGTTTTTGTTTGATGATAAACCAGCGCAACATTAAAGTTTAGATTGTGGGCATAGTTAAAAAAGGCGCGCCTAAGCAAGCGCTTAAGCGCGCCTAGGCTCTAGGCGTTGGCAAAACGCATTGCGCATAACTACGCTTAATCTGTGCATAACTGCGCATAAGCATGCGCTTTGGTCAGTAAAGTGCAAGGCGGTGGCAAAACGCACAATTAACGCCTAGCGCTTTTTTGAATTATGATTGTGGGCTTTGTGGAGTTTTCTTGGTCGACTATTTAGTCATGGTTGATAAAATGTGCCTTTAATATCGAATCAAAATTGTGTCTTTAACATATAGTAGATGTTGTATGTTATGAGTAATGTATGTGCGACAGAAATTCATATAATAGATGTGGTATGTTATGAGTTTTTTGACTCACATAGAAATGTCCTACTATTCTCATCCAACAGTGGATGACATTTGTTGACACCGCACAGTGTACAATGGGTACCTTTGAGTCTTTGACCATTAACCGTTGCATGTATAGCTGCAACCTATTTTTCATGAAAATCTATTTATAACATTTTTTATGTAAAAATGTAAAAGTGTTCTTATTAATTAGTGGCACGTTAGTAATCACAACAGAGAACCAAAGTTGAGATAATAGAGGGCCTCACTCAATAAAATAGAAGAGGTTCAAAATGTATTAAGTTTGCCATATCTATTTCAGAAGTCATGGCCAAATACGAAATAGTCTGATTGCATCAATAGCGAGTTAAATCAGATTTGACACGCAACAGTAGTGAAAGCAAATAATTTAGCAGGCACTCCCTCTCAGTGGTGGAGCTTCCAACAAAAAGTTGGGACGGGCCAAGCTAAAGAATCCAGTTAATAGTGCTTATGAGTTCCTTCCTGCCTTCCCCCGCAATGCTCTTCTTTAGCTTGCATGAATCCAATTAATAGTGTTTATTGCTGAATAAATAGGCAGTTTTTTGATTAAATTAATCCACGAATAAATTACTCACATGGCATTGATAGAAATAAACGCATGCTGATATTAGATCATGCAAGCACATACTACGCTAACAGCAGACACATCTACGTATAACGCTAGCATGGCTAAAATGGAAATCAGTAGGAGCGGGATAAACGGGCAATACCTTCCAATCGGCCAGGCAGAGGAAGCAGCGGTGTCCTCGGTGGCCTTCTTCTCGGCTTCAAGTTTCTCGGCGGCGGCTTTGTTGGTGTCGGTGGACATGGTGACGATGAAGACGACACAGACGTAGAGGAAGTAGTCGATCGAAGGCGAGCAGTCGCATAGTCGCTCCCCAGAAGCCTAACGCCCCTCTTCCGTACAACATCCGGAGAGGCGGGGTTTAGGAGGCCTACTCTCCCGTCAACCGTGTACACGGTGAACGGGATGGAGTCGCCGGCGGCAGCAGTAGCAAAGGGAACAACATGGGCGGTGCGTGTGGAGCAGATGCGATCTGTTCGTGGCGGCTAGGATTGGCCAATGCCTCACATATCTATGCGTGTCCGGGTGGAGAGACATGGGCTGGACCCACGTCCGAGTCGGCGAGAGCCCACGATCCGACGTCTCGAGTACGTCACACGTCTGTTAGGGACTCCTCGTTCCTGATCGGCAAAAATAAGCGCATAGGTATGTGCTCGGCTCGGCTCAATCCCGCAACCCGCGGTGCGTCGTGACGAGGCGTGGTGAGGCGGGCGGCGGAGGAGGAGTGCGCGAGGGCCTCTACTCTTCTCAAGTTCCAATAGCATGTGGAAGAGAATCCCTTATAAGGAGGTCCAACTCCTTCTCCACTAGCGGGGTGGGACTAAACTTCCCACCACCACTTGTCATGACACCTACATGGGCCCTTAGAGATTTTTCTGAAATTGTAAGATGGGCCTAAAACCCACCCCATATTTCAACAATCCCCCATCAGATCTTGAGGGCCCATTGTGTCCTCTATTCCAATCGCTGTTTTGATATACCAGTGTTTCAGTGAAGACCTGTTAAGGTTGAACTCATGGATTTCGAGTCGAGCGACTAGTCGCGACTAGTCGTCGACTAGTTGATGAGTCGTTACATGAAGGTTGACTCAACCTGTCGACTCGAATCATTGGATGAGTCGAGCGACTCGATCGACTAGTCCCGACTAGTCTCTACTAGTCGCGGTTTTTGAGTCGAACGACTCGATCAATCTGTGAGGGAAGAGGAGCTGGATGGAGAAAACAGAGCAGGGAAGAATGGGGGAGGCGGAGAGGAAGGGGCGGAGGCAGAGAAGCCATGGAAGAGGAGCTGCAGCAAGGCCATTGTGGCTGTCGATTCGTTCCTGGAGGCTGGAAGGGGAGCAGGTGAGAGAGAGAGAAAGAAGTGAGTGGATGGACGGTGAAGATCAGAGAATATAGATGGTTCAGATTGAGCTAGGCAGGCTAGGGTTTCATTGGGCCTTATTGGGCCAATATTGCATCTGGGCCAATATTGAAGGAAGATTGGAGCGTCTGGAAACCTAGATCGGACAGTTCCACCCCTCCCCCGACCCAGCCCTCTTCTGCAGCAGCCGCCGCCGCCCCTGGCTTGCTGCTCGTCCCCTTCTCCCTTGGTTGCTGCTGCCTGCTGCTGCCTGCTGCTCATCACTTGATTGCTGCTACTGCAGGTCTGCTCCTCCCATCGCTGGCTGATGCGGCTCCTCCCTTAGTTGCTGCTGGTCTGCTCCCTACTATACTTAACTCATGTCGACTCATCGCATGTCGACTCGTCGACCACGAGTCTAGACTAGTCATGACTAGTCTAGAGTCGCCCCCCCTGAGCGACTCGCCGACTCATCGACTCAAAAACCTTGGTTGAACTTCACCTAGAGCATGTAGCTACACTCCTTCACAACTGAACAATGGACTATGCCTTGAATTTTCAATTTGGCATAAAGAAGTTTCACCACATGTCTTACTAGTACTAGGCTGCCGAAGGCTGACCCCTCGGGTGGAGCATATTAGTCACACTCCTGGCCTATTCATGAGCTTGCTAGAGATCACCCCAATCTCATAGACTATTACCAACAGTCGAGCTCATATAGGTGTGTTCTTCCAAAGATCGATCTGTAGGATAGCATCTTGCTTGTATAAGCTTGGAACAAGACAGTAGTCAACCTACCATACAATTTTTGAGAGTATTGCATCTCCAACGAAGTGGATTAGTAAAGTTACTCTCCTCAGTTCACCACTGGCTTGTTTTCCCATGTCCTACTTCACGGGATCTTCGATCACATGGGTTGGGTTACCACTATGGCAACTCATATGGGTCTCATACCCATCTCCCTCAATGCACTATCTATCACAGCATGTGATAGCCCTTTAGTAAAGGGATCTGCCAGATTCTTAGCCGTTTGGATATAATCCAACGCCATCACTCCGGAGTTTCTTAATTTTCTGACAACTTTTAATCTCATTCTTACATGTTTGTTGGACTTCATGTTGTCCTTTGAACTCTTCACCGTGGCAATAACTGTCTGATTGTCATAGTTCATAAGGATAGCCGGGACCGGCTTTTCAACCACTGGCAAGTCCATCAAAAGATCTTGGAGCCATTCTGCTTTGTCACCAGATGTCTAATGCTGTTAATTCTGCTTCCATCGTCGATCTTGTTAAGATCGTTTGCTTGCAAGACTTCCAGGAAACAACACCACCTCCAAGTGTAAACATATACCTAGTTGTGGCCTTCATCTCATCAGCATCAGAGATCCAATTCGCATCACTACACCCTTCAAGTACCGACGGTATCTGGTATAGTGAAGTTCATAGTTCATAGTACCTTTCAAATAGCGCATAATTCTTTCAATAGCATGCCAATGTACACCAGGTTTGGAAACAAACCGGCTCAGTTTGCTCACAGCAAACGCGATGTCAGGTCTCGTTGCGCTCGCTAGATACATGAGTGAACCAATAATTTGAGAGTATCTCAATTGATCCCGAGCTGTGCCTTCGAACTTTTGAATCATATGGTGTTTAAGATGGTTTGCAGTCCGAATATCCAAAACGACTCAACACCTTCTCAACATAATGAGATTGCAGAAGTGTAATCCCACCCTCATCATCTCTCAGTAGCTTGATATTCAAGATAACATCAGCCACACCAAGGTCCTTCATCTCAAAGTTCTGAGATAAAAACGACTTAACCTCCTCAATCACTTTGAGGTTGGTTCTAAATATCAATATGTCATCAACATACAAGCACAATATAACTCCTTCGCCCCCATCATGGCGATAGTATACACATTTGTCAGCTTCATTAACAACTAAACCGACAATGTCAGAGTTGTATTAAACTTCTCATGCCATTGCTTAGGTGCTTGTCTCAGGCCATATAAGGATTTTAGCAACTTACACACCTTTCCTTCTTGATCATCTATTACAAAGCCATTTGGCTGCTG